TGCCCTGTTACAGCACATACAAGTACACACATACACACGTGTACACAGCGTTCATTTAGAGCACACACACCCACACACAGACACAGTGCCCTGTTACAGCACACATACACACAGCGCCTACTTAGAGCACACACACAGTGCCCTGTTACAGCACACACAAGTACACACATACACACACACAGCTTTCATTTAGAGCACACACACCCACACACAGACACAGTGCCCTGTTACAGCACACATACACACAGCGCCTACTTAGAGCACACACACAGTGCCCTAGAGATATTTCTTGATGAAAACGGTATAGTATTGCTTATAAGACTATATTATGCGTGACGAACTAGTACTGTATTCGCATGTAATAATGTACCTGAGTGATTTTCAGACATCCCACATACATATTTGCCTAAATATTAGGAGAAACATTATTTCCTGACATCCAGGATATTTGGTTCCCCCCTGTTAAAACAGGTAGGCTATACAGCAACTCTGGGCCTCGGTACTAATAACAATACAGTATTCACATGTAATAATGTACTTGAGTGATTTTCAGACATTTCACATAGGCCTATACCTCTTTGCTTTAATATTAGGGGAAACATCATTTCCCGATAGACAGGGGAAACATAGGGAAACCGAATTGCCCGGTACACCTGTTGCGGACCTCGTCCATTATAGACTATATTCCGTTATAAGCGAGTCCACTATAACGGGATTTTACTGTAATTATTTTGGAATTAATTGGCATGCTAAAACGTGATTTTATAGGCTTTATTATATTGATTATGTAACAATCTCAGCTCTGTTCTCCATATTATGGAAGTATCACGCAGAGGATTACATCCGAAAAGATGGTTTTTATTCTCTGCTTTCTCGTCTTGCTTACTGCACTGACTACAGGGTTCCGTTTTTTTATATACGTATATACAAGACTCACTCTCCCGCTAACTCAAACAAAATCATGTCATTTTGGTACACCTTACAGATTAACAAAAAAATTCAATCAGATAATGTAAAATATAATGTCATATGAGGACATATAATTCAACAGATTACATGACATGAATAGTAAGATTGCGGAATTTCGTCAGTCAGAACGATCTTTTGGGAATCTGTTCCCACACGTCGGATGTTTTTTGAGACAACGCTAAACTAAGCCAGACAGTTAGCCTGTTTCGGACCAGGCTTGTTCGCAGGCCTAAATTACCATGGTAATTCAGCGGGGATTCATTTAAGACACGTTGATAGAACGGAACTCTCACTTAAGTAAGACTGACTTGTCGAAATAAGTCAGACTTTCCCTTAAGCCTGCTTCATGGAATACCCCCCTGGTCTTAGAGGAACGTCTTATGAGGAGAGTTTAGCATAGGTAAATCTGTTCAGCCTCGAGCAAAGGAGACTAAGGGGGAACATAATCCAGGTATATAAGAAATTAACATGTCTGGATGCTGTTCAACCAAATAGTTACTTCAATATTAGTTCAAACACAAAAACTCATGGTCATAGGTGGAAATTAAAGGTACATTTATTTATACAGCACATTTAAGTTGTACCAAACTGCATTCCAGGTGATGTAAATCAATGGCTGTTGCTAGCAGGTTTCACTAGGCGCACATGCTGGCGCAGTCGATCCAGGGAGAGTACCCACAGGAAAGCGTGAAGGGCCAACTCATCCTGCCCTGTCCAGGGAAAATGAGGGTAGCCCTGCTGGGGGCAGTCCTCCAGCTCAGCTGTGAGTGCCCCCAGACTTTTGCCAGTGTGCCGTTGCTCTAGTGTGCTCCCTCATCTTCCCTGTATAGTGTCATTGGTTGAACTGCCACTCCAGTGTGGTAATCAGGGCACCTCAGTAATCCTCCTCCCTGGAGAGAGGCTTTGGAGGGCCTTCAGCACTACCCCTTCCAATGACATGAACAGGGGGGCCACCTTTTCATTGGGGGATCAGCAGTTGGACCTGGGCCAGCTAGAGCTCCAAAGGCTCTTTTCCGTGGTAGTGGGGCAGCTTCAGGGGGGTCTTCATTGCGATTGGCTGCATCCCCATGCCGTGCCGCTCCTGGTCGTGGTGCCGTCATTCGAACAGGTGGGGGGTGCTAGCACCATGGAGTCACACCGAGAAGGCGAAGCGCTTGGTTCCTGAAGGTCCCCTCGGGCATGCTGCACCCCTTTGGTAGGTTCTCCAGAGCTCTTCCTCTTCCCTCTGGAGCTCCCTCTTTGTTAATTGTCCTGAGTTCTGTAACCAGTGTAATGTCAGGAATGACCATGATGTTGGATAACATAATGGTAAGTGGGAGGCAGTATGAGTCAACCACAAGGTGGTGTTTATTGCACTCGTACCATTCATTCTGACAACTCACTCATACTGCACACCATGCGGTCACCCCAAATACCCACCCCACACACAGTGGGTCCACGCACATCACTATTTACAACACTTAACATTAAACACTATATGTGACATTATTTTACAACACAATAGACGATGACTACACAAAGCTATTTACAGTAATTACAAGCTGGCATCGGTTCAACCTGTCATGCTGCCTGCAATAATAACTTCAATTGTTTTTCTAGCTTGCAGAAGATCCTGATGCTTTCCTTTACCAACTTGTCCTTTCGTGTCTAGTTGTACCGGTTGGTGTTCATTGGAAAAACACCACTGTCAACATTTGCAAAAGATTTGTTTATTGAGGGACACCTCTACCTCATAGCCCACTGCAGGGTTCCCCAATTCCAGTCCTGGAGGGCTAGTCTGTGACACAGTTTGCAGATTTCCCAGCTCAGACACACATACTAAACCTGGCAATTAGTTGATGAGCTGATTAAGGTGTGTCTGTGTATGTATATGTCATATCTGAAAGGGATATGTTGTTTAATTTGCCTAACAAAGCATTTCAGTTTTTCTGAAATGTTCAAAATAAAATTTGTTTTACATTATTGAACACTAACATTGTGATATTTGTGAGCTTCATTTTGTAGCTCTTCTGTAACTGTATTTTGTACAACTGGTGTTTAAGAGTAATGTAAGGTTGGCCTGTGTCAGATTCTCTTTCTCTATTGTATACTGGTAGTGACATTTGAATTATTAAAAGGACTCTGAAAGTTGGCTGTTACACCAAACTTTATATTGTGTAATCAGAGCTCAATTCGTAGAAATGTTTAATATTCATTCTTGGGCATTAATTTGACCTTTTATTGTAATTTTAAGAATCATTTCAAAAGATCTTATTCATTTCAAGACATACCCTTAAGCTTAACTGAAGGAAGAGTGAACTTGTTTTCAGTAATAATATCTAGAATAGCTGAATTTTCAATGTTTGTAATAAAGCATCGGATAAGAAAGTTTAGCCTATTATCTAGTTTGGGTTAATTTTGCTTACCCTATTGGCAGATTGCTTTGTTTGATCATAGACAATTCGTCTAAGTGAAATTTACTTCTTTTTGTTCTAGTAGAGTAGTACTAGTAACTTATCCAACATCCAAAAAAATCACTTTAATTGCTGCTTATTTGAACTGTTCACTAAAGGAAGATGCAAATATCAATGCTTCTTAACATAATTAGCATCAAATTCACTGCTACATACATTTCATACAACTAATCATTACACTTATAAAAGGTACTGATGGTGAAATTAAAGAATTGACCATGACTTGCTTAATTCTAAGAAGAATGACTTGTGACTAGTTTACATGTGAATATACCTCTTTTCCACTTGTGCTGTGCCAAGCCGGTGCTGACAGGGAGCTGTTTCTCAGGTGATGCTTAAGTGTCACAATCTGAGAACCAGCCCACATTTCTTCTGGTTAACATTTATCCCAAATGGTGAATACACACATGACAACAGACATAACATTTTTGAGCTTGTTAAATATTTTTTGATAGAGAATGTTGAGGGTAATGCTAATTTAAGCTCTAGGACTTTAATCAAAGCATTCTTCTTCATAATTAACATTAGCTAGCTACATTTTAAAGCATTACTAATTAATATTTACAACACTTGCTGAATTTTTGCAATTCTACAAAAAATGTCTGGGGCACAGTACTCCCAGGATTCAACTGGACACAGTTCATCCAAAAATCATCAGAATCATTTGACTACATACAATTAAAAAATTAAAGAAAAAAAAATTAAGAAACCACTCACATATTTTTAAACAAATCTGCATTTTTAAATCCTGGTTTAATGGTAGTTCTGCTGGCAGAAGCCTACGCTGAGCAGTAGGTTGTGTCCAGGTTCAAAATTTCTAAGACAGCAATCCACAAGAATAAGATGAAGCACAAGACACTAGGAATGACCAAAAATCAGCCAGGTAACAGGGCAGAAGTGACATTCTAATGCCAGAGATGACCGTTAACTCATCCGACAGTGCCTCATAGATCGGAGGATGACCTCAAATGCCCTTCAAAAGGAATGGGAATTAAGTGCAGGTGTGAAGTAGACTGCTAGGACATTTCATGTTAGGCTCCTAGAAGCAGAACTGAAGTCCCATAAAGCAAGGAAGAAACCCTTCATTAATGAGAAACAGGGAAGAACCAGGCTGCAGTTTGCAAAAAAATATTATTCACAGATGCACACCCATAAATAGCTCAAGATTACAGTGCATTGTAGCCCCTCCTCAGATGCTGTCATGGGTTGCCAGTTTCAGGTGTATCAGTGGAGTTGGGCCAGAGCCAGTTTTTGTGGGTATGGCATCACATAAATCAGCAGTGAAAAAGTGTGGAACCAGATCCAAATTAGGTACCTACTCGGCATCAGCACTGTATTGGTGGAAAAGGGCTATTATAGTCCCATGTCAAGTTGAATGTCATGATTTGTTCCCGTCACAGGCTCTTTACCACTCAGACCATCCAGAATTAATATTTAAAATTATATACAGCAAGTTATAGAAGACCTTAATGGAGAACACAGCTTTTTTTTTTTTTTTTACTTGCGTACAGGCCATATTCACACTATCATATTATTTATTTTGCTGCACACCCTAGTGTTAAGTTAACTATAATGAAGTAAGCAAATTCGGGGTAGAGTTTATTGAAATTTCAACCTATAATTCCATTTTTAAATGTCACAGATTTCATCATATTAAATAAATACGACTTATCTACATTAAGCATGAGGCAGACTGCATTTTTGCCCAATTTTCAAAGGCTGTATTATAGATATGACATTGTTTAAACTTAGATGTCCATATTAATTCAACAGCAAATACAAGAGAAACTGATACTCAAAAAAAAATTACTTCTGAAGAAGAAAAAAACAAGCATAAGTTTATAACATTCTGGAAATGTTTTAATTAACTCTACCTCTCATAATTCGACTTGATAAATTTGGGGTGAGAGACTGGTCAACTCAGCAATACTGCCAATACCACTGGAGAAAAGTGGAAAGTGAAACATTTAAGAAACAGATGAATGTATTCAATTTCCAATTACATACAAAATGCTTAGCTGCATTATTTGTTATGCAAAACAGTGGATAACTGGCACAAAGTGTTCTTTGAAAAGGTTAAAATGTATTAAGTACTGAACATCCTATGGGTTGCATTGTGTTACTGATAAGATGCCTTTGTTCCCCCCAAATAAATAAAACAAGCTTGTGTCCTGCATGCATTTCTGTCCTTCTTCTCCCCTTCTGGCGGCAGACACTTCTACTTAGGAGCTCACAAGTACATAGATCATCCTAAAATGATGGAAAAATAAGTGACTGCTTATGACAAGATTCCAAATCTCTTTGCAAAATGTGAAAGATTAATGGTCATTTAATAAACATGATAAATTCCAAATTTTAAAAAATCTATGCAAAAACACCCAAAAATATCTACTTACCCATAGAGATAATAGAAAAAAGACAGCAGGTAGAAAGCAAGTTTGCACCAGCCTTCTTTCTGGCAGTAGGCAAGGATATCAGCATTCATTATTGTGGTTGGATCATAAAGCCCTGGACCGCTCATCACTGGTCGACTCATGTATCTGAAGAAATATTGATATGGAAAAACAAGGAATGATTAGTAGTGTGCGTGCCCCATTAAGAAATCAGACAGAAAAGACCATAATTTAACTTTTGTTTATCCAGAAGTTACTCTTTAAAATCCTAGTTAATAAAAAATATAAGTATTAAATTCTTCAATCATTGTGGAACTCTACAACTTCTACCCTTTGTAAATGAAAGCCTATAAGTGACATTGTAAGAATACTGACAGACTCAAGAAAAGCCTACCTCCAGACATGGTATGCCAGCAAAGGCATATTCAGCCCCAGGGTGAGCCATTCAGCTGCACAGAGGAACATTATACAGAAGAAGACGTGGATGAGGTACTCTGGGAGAACCAGCTGAAACAGGCCAGCAAGAAAATTAGTCCAACAATAAAAAGGCTTTGAATTTTTTTTTGCAAGTATGATTTCCACCAGCAGTTTTCTAGTGCAAAACAGTTTGTTTTAAAAGTCCTCAGAGGCTGCAAACATAGCACCGCACACAGAGCTAATAAAATCAGATTATTAATGCAGCAAACAGCTCACCATCCATACTCCGAGCAAAGCAAGCAAAGCAATGTAATTGTTCAGTCAATTTTAAGAGCTGGTGCAAAGTTTGGAACACAGCAGAAGGCAGATGGAGTCACCACATGGAAACCATGCACTGAAAAGAGCAGTACACATAACCCTGACATAACAGTCTCAATTAGGAAATAAAGAGGTAGGAAGAAATATGGGAATTTTAGCAGACTGAAATTGTAAAAATCTTTTCAAAGCAGAAAAGGCAACACTATACTGAATATTCGCACACATTATAACCAGCTACAGAAATTATGTCCAGGATGGCTCCACAAGTAACGTCCTTACAAACATAAGACTGATGTAAGGCATTGTGTCTTGTATTGATGAGATTCTGTCACTATTTCTTTAGTGGTGAACCTATCAGAAAAGCAACCCTCAATTGGCATAATGGTTTAGCATTGAGTAGGGTTAAAAGGATATAGCTCAATTCCAATCTAGTAGTAGAACACTCTAAGTCTACCACTTGTCCCTGAATAAAGAACCCAGTGACATTTAATTAAAGGAATATGGTTATTAAATTATTCATGCTTGGAGCATTTACAAGTTTCTTTTTCAGTTAACATCACTTTCTGGGAAAATCAACAATACCATAAATCATTTTGCAAAGAAAGTAAACAAAACTGCAAACTACTCAACCTGTTACCACTAGCTAGAAAATATAACTGATCAAATTTCCTATCTTCTGGGTGACGTTAAGATTCAACATTATATTATCCCTCAAATGGGGAAATATTGAAACAATGCAAGCTCACCTCAGATGCCAGAGAAATACTCTCATAACCCATTGGTGAACAAGCTCTTTATTAAGAGAATTAAAGTAACTACATCATGCAACACAACAGGTCAGACAGACATATGATCATGCAGAAGAGAAATTTGTATCTCTGTAACAGTTTCATGGTCTACCACTGTTCCATCTAACTTCATAGTCTAAATTAATCCCTACTGAAAATTCATCCTAGAAGAAGGACTAGTGCTTTGCGTGCCTATGACACTTAATGGAAACTGTTTAAGATGTAGCAAGCATAACATACATATTATTCTGCTGCACTTGTGCACTGAAATCCACCCAAAAATAAGAAGAGCTAAACCCTCATCTTCTATAATTTGTTAACTAAAAAAAATTCTTGCAAACACTCCTCCGTGCAAATGACAGACTGGACGGAATCAAATGAGCATTTTTACTGAAGACTGGGTACAAACCTTTAACGCAATTTTGACTCTTTTAATCTTTTTGACCTTTTCAACTGTCTTTTGCCATAAAATGAAAATGCAAAAAGCAGATCATAAAAATGTTAGTTTTGGACAGCTGACAAGATCACACTAGATTAATAACAGTCAGAATATCAAGCAAAAGAGTGCAGATGTCAATTAAGCAAAGACATGAAAAAACATTTGGAAAAAGCAGATGTTACTTTAATATATGACTGAAGCATCTTACCGGATTCAACGTATTACATTGATCTATTGGATTCTTGTAGTCTGTCTTCAGTTCATCAAATGCTATAATCTGTCAAACAAAGAGTTCCTATTGTTTAAAAATACAAGAATGTATAGGAAATTGCCCAGCATAATTTAAGAGTGCGCTTCGTCATCCAAATTTAAAATGTCACGTTAGTTGGCCATACTAACAAGTCAATCATTTCGTAAGCCAAAGCACATAACAAAACTTCACGTTTCTGCAATTAAAACATAAAGCGATTTGAAAGCATATCCCGGCATATCTGCCTGAAGTCCAAGATTACATTTCTACAGGTTCGGCTTTCATAATTTAAAACAACTCGACCGGGTGAGCCGGAGTATGCTTCAAAATATGACGATTATTTGGTGAAATTACGAGTTTTTCCGCTCATTTTGATAAGTGGTTGCGTAACCAAAATCAGGCGTGCCCCTACATGAGCCAACCGGCTTCCCAGTTAGCATTTCATTATGCCAAAAAACATCTTTCTGGTATATTTGACAAACAATGCACAGTAAACATATAAATACGTAACATGCAAAGCACTGTATAATGAAAAAATAAACAACGAAATTACTAGTTAATACTGCTATTTATGCCAAACACCGTCGGTGGAATAGTGTTAACATGCCTCATCAAATATAACTGTGTGCGTGTGTGTGTGTGTATACGCCATGTATATATGCAGTAGATGCAATCATTTAACTGATCACTGTGGCTACGAATTTGAGACATTATTTCTAACGATTCAATCCGCTGATTTCCTCTGGTAAGGAATGTATCATAAGAACCTGACAACAAATTTCCCCGAAGCTCAAATCGAAAGACGTTTACGTTCTTTTCATGTCTATAGTAGTATATTGCTCACTTACGTGCCAAATGGCGAAGAAAATGAGAGCTGCTGTAAGTAGCAACGCCAACATATAACAAAAGGCCGCGAATGTGAACGCCATATTCCGTCAACGTAGCCAAAAGACCGTCACCCAATTTTGTGAAAAGTGGTTTCGACCGATCGCTCAAGACAAGCAACGCGAGAACTATTATGAGCATGCGTAGATCTGATGACTGATATACACATGCGCGAACGCTTTTTTTTTTTTTTAAAGCAAACAGCTCTAATATATGCTGTATACATGTATACAGCATATAAACAGATGAAGTATACAACAGAATACAGTAATATGAACAGCCAGGGGTGTTAATTATACAAATAAGCGCAAAGATTTACATATATATTGATTTTATATACAACTCCATATCCTTAAGGAAATAAAGAAAAGATGGTGTTTTATTAATGAATTTACATTTGTAGATAAAAAAAAATTCCCAGAAGAATTAAGAAATTTATTATAAAAAAAAATTATCATTCTTTTTGGGGATCTTAGTCCCTTAAAATATGGTTCACAACAAACCTGCTAAATTCATTCCAAAATCTCTGTATGAAAGAGCAATACCAGAAGAGATGAGTCATAGTTTCCGGATGATCCCCACAAAAACTGCAGTTAATATTTATTTCTCTTTTAAATTTTACCATATAGTGCTTAGCTGGATAACATTTATGGAGAACGATAAACGACACTTCCTTCACCTTATTTACAATTAAATATTTATGGGGGAGCATCCAGACTGTTTTCCAGTTGATATCTGGAACATAGCGATTCCAATAAGATGTTACATACGGGAGAGAGACGATATCCCTTTGGAACAAACCGCGCACTCTCATTGCTATTACTAAGCTCCTGTGAAAAACAGATTTTTCCCACTATTGACTCAGCTGGGTCAGGGAGGGTGACTGATGTAGATAGACAGCTGTCAATGTTTTTATACAGCATTAACGTACCTGGGGGTATGGCCCCAAGCACCATTGAAAATTCCCGGGGACTAACTGGAAAATTGTATAATGAAAGGAATTCGTTGTACGTGAGTAGTTGTCCCTCTCTATTAACCAGCTGAGCCACCAATAGGATTCCATTTTGAACCCATGATTCAAGGAATAGTGATGTATTTTTATATAAAAGATCTTTATTGTTCCAGATGAGGTATTTATGTGGTGAGAAGTTGTGTTTATAAATATGAGGGTCAACGCTAAGAGGACCTGCTTATGGAAGGATGAAAGTTTTACAGGGAGTTTCTCAACATTGTAATTACAATTTAAGATAAAGTTAAAGCCACCAAAACGAGAGAAAATATAATGTGGTATAAGGTTCCAGATAGAAGCAGGATTTTTAAGAAAATGTTTAGCCCAATTAATTTTGTATGTGTTATTCAAGGTAGTGAAATCCAAAAAGTTAAGCCCACCTGAGTCATAGTTATTCATCAGAACAGTTTTCCTAATATAATGTGTACGATTTTTCCATATAAAGTTAAAAAGCATGCGGTCAATATCATTACTAATCTTCTTATCCAGGTGCAAGGAGAGACTAGCATATGTCAATCGAGATATCCCTTCAGCTTTAGTAAGTAGTACTCTGCCTTTCAGAGATAAGTCCCTCTGCAGCCATTGGTTCAGTTTCTTTTGGGTTTTCTGTATAATCGGAGTAAAGTTTGAAGAGCATTTTAACTTTTGGTCTTTGGAGATTAAAAGTCCTAAGTATGTGACCTTTTGTTTAACAGGGATATTACAGATAACATTTGCAGTGCAGTCTTTAATCGCTAGCAATTCCCATTTTTTTTTAATTTAGGCATAAACCAGAGGCCTCAGAGAAGTCACTAATCAAGGAAAGGACGAGAGGGATTTGATTTGCATTCCTTAAAAAAACCGTGGTGTCATCAGCTAACTGGCTGATGATGATCTCCTTGTCAGCTATTGTGATTCCTTGTACGGCACTGTTGGAAATATGAGTTGCAAGAATTTGTGTACAATGTAGAAATAGATATGGTGAAATGGGACACCCTTGGCGAATACCACGTTTCAGGTCAAGTCTGGGGGTGGAGGCATATCTCATTTTAGAACTATTACCATTAGTGTATAAAGTTTTGATAGATTTACAAAAAAAATTCCCCAAAGCCAAAGTTTTCCAAAGAGTGAAAAATAAATTGATGTTCAATTGTGTCAAAGGCCTTATAGAAATCCAGGAAGAGAATGTAGCTATCGTCAGGTACCAAGTTGGAGTAATCAAGTAAATCCAAAATTAGTGTAATACTATTAGAAATGTGTCTGTTTCTCATAAAACCTGACTATGTCTCATCAATAACTGTGTCCAAAACCTCTTTAATTCTATTAGCAAGTATTAAAGCCATAATCTTATAATCATTATATACAGATGGGTCTCCAATTATCAATGAAGAGCAAGTCTTTGTTTGGTTTTGGGATAAGCGTTATGAGACCTTGAATAAGAGTAGGGGGGAGAGTGTTATTCTCTATACCTTCCAGGAAAACCTGTAATAAGAACGGGGCCAGGAGATTAGAAAATAATTTACAAAACTCTGCAGTTAAACCATCTGTGTCAGGGGATTTGTTGGCCTTAGTGCAGTAATGGAATTAGAAACCTCTTCCACTGCGAAAGGACTGTCGCAATAACTTCTATCTTCCACATTAATAGTTTTTAAGTTTTTGACATTGTTGAGAAATAGTGTTGAAACCTCCTCATTATATTTTTAGCTGTACAGTTCAGTGTAAAACTTGGCATAAAAATCTGAAATTTGTCTAGGATTGTTGGAGAGAGTGCCATTAATGTTTAGTTGATGAATAGAGTTAGTCATTGATCTGTGCTTTTCGAGCCTGAAGAAGTAAGCAGAATTTTGTTCTCCGTCCTCTAGCCATCTCTTCCTGGATCTTAGCACCCTCAGCCCTGTGGCGATATAAGCTTTTTAATGTCTAGTAGAAGTAATTTATCTTCCTCCGAGACTTCTTCCGGGGAACTCTGGTAGTAAGAAGCAATTTTGCTTATCACTTCTTCCTCTTCAGCTTTCCTCAATTTAGCAATATCACTCTCATATCTTCTCAAAAATTTGCATGCTTCAAATTTGAAAAATTCCCAATTGGTGCAAAAGGATTTCTCCCTGTTAGCCTTATTCCAATAATAAGCAATTAATTTATTAATCTGAATGTTAACCATTTCATGCTTCAGTAAGGAGTTGTTTATAAGGTATATTATCAGGTGTAAGCATTTGGATGTTAATGTGAATTGCTCTATGATCAGTGAGGGGGGTAGCAAGTATATTAACAGCAATGTTGTCTTTATCAACACAATTAGAAACAAGCCAGAAGTCGCAAAACGTTAGTGTTCCATTTAGGACAGCACTTACTCGTGGTAGTGTGCACTATGTACTACATGTCAGTGACCTTCTTGGTCAAAATTGTGGTGCTTAAACTGTTTATTGCATATTTAAGAGGTTAAAAAGGACTTTGCGGAATGCAAACACTCGCGAGTCTTTATTTCTGTTTGTTTTACTCCCTTTTAACGTATGTCTGCCTTTATCCCTACAGTTTCCCATGTCACACTCAATACTAGGGGTTTAAGAGATTCTATAAAAAGGAAATCAATCTTTTTATTCTGTAAAAATCAGAAAGCGCACTGTTTTCTTCTCCAAGAAACTCATTCCATAAATATAGATGAAAAATTTTGGTCAAACCAATAGGGAGATAAAATAATTTATAGTCATGGCACGAATAGGTCAGCTGGCGTTGCAATTCTTTTCAACAACTATCCTGGGAAGGTTCTAGCTACTAACAGGGATATTCTTGGCCACTGGATTATCTGTGTTATTGAAACAAAAGGGAAATTTCAGATACTTGGGAATATATATGGATATAACTCTCCTAATCAAAACAGAAATATGATTCTCGAAATAACAAAGATTGTAAAAGAGCTTAAGTATAGGTATCCTACAGATGACTATATATCTGGTGGTGATTTTAACATGGTGATGGATGACTGGCTTGACAGACTGCCCTCAAAATATCATGGGCCGCATTATAATCCTGTGTTGCTTGACTTTTGCAGTGTGTTTCATCTGAAAGATACATGGCGTTCTGAAAACCCTGATGCCCAAATCTTCACATGGTTTAAACCAGATGGGTCAGTGAAATCCAGATTAGACTTTTGGTTAATGTCAGAATACAACCCTGGGCTGGAGTCCAAATCCTCAATCTCTGCAGCACCCTTAACAGATCACTGTGTGGTTAAACTTACTCTTGAACCTGCAAACGCCTCTCTAAAGGGGTATAAAAAGGGGTACTGGAAATTTAACTCCGGTCTCCTTGAAAATGAACCCTTCTGTCAAGAAATTGTAACGATGATCAAGGATATATCTAAAACCTCAGATCTCACAACTTATAGGGCAAAATGGGAGTTTCTAAAATATAAAGTTCGTCAAACTTCCATAATAAGCGGTAAATTATTAAGCAAGGCTAGCAGGGAAAAGGAAATGGAAATTATTACAGACATAAATGCTATCTGTAATAAGTCGTCATTAACTGAGAGTGATAAACAAAAACTTATTCTCCTGCAATCTTTGTTAGACAATGTTTACACGAGTAGAGCTAAAGGAGCGTTTATTAGGTCAAAGGCAAAATGGATTGAGGAGGGTGAAAGGTCTTCAGCATACTTCTGTAGATTAGAAAAACAGAGGCAAGAACGGAATACTGTAAAGGTTCTACTGGTAGATAATCAAGTCTGTACAAATCCTGTCATGTCTTTTGTCTTGTCTGCGCATGGGACAGTGAGAAACGCAATTTCGATTCCTTTGCATGTCCAGTGCATGAGAAGGAATTGACAATAAAGCTGACTTTGACTTTGAAATCCAGAGATGATCTCTAGGGAGATTTTCAAGTTCTATAGTAACTTATATTCCTCCTCTTTCTCCTACATAGAGGCCAATGCTTTCTTTGAGCATGTTAAGAATTGGATCCTTAAAGTGGAAGAGAATTTCAGGAACATTTGTGATGCTGACATTAGTTTCGAGGAAGTGGAAAAGGCAGTGTTTTGCTTATCCTTAGACAAATCCCCTGGTTCGGATGGTCTGACTACTAATTTTTATAGACATTTTTGGCAGTACCTTAAAGACCTTTTTTTTCATATGTTAAAAGAAGTATTTGAA